CTGCCGCGCCGGCCCTCACGCGAGGGTCCCCTTTGTCCGCAGGTACAGCTGCGGCCCCACCGTGTACGATCACGCGCACCTCGGCCACGCCTGGTGAGTCTGGGTCCGCGGGCGCTTCGGGTGCTCCCTGAGCCCGTGCCCGTCTTCCAGGAGGGAAACTGAAGCAGATCTGGACGCAGGGGTCGGGGCCCTGCGGGCTGCTTGCTGCGGGGGCAGGGCCTGGAGCCGGGCTTGCTGCTGGCACCGCCCAGCGGGAGCTTCCTACACCGGGACAAGTCGCTCTCTGGCCAAGGCCTGGTCTTCCGCGATGAGGTGGGGCTCATAGGGCCAGGGTTTTGCCCGTTGCCCGGCGTGATGGCGCACTCTGTGATCCCAGCACTCTTGAGGCTGAGGCAGGAGGAGCTGCCAGATCAAGGCCATCCTGTTCTACATAGAGGAAACCTGTCTCAAAAAAAAAAAAAAAGTCATGGTTTTGCATCCTACCAGCGGCACGGGGAAATAATGCCTCGCGCAGCATCTGACGCCGCTGTTAGGGCTTCCTTTTTCCTCTTTTGTTTTGAGAGAGTCTTGCTGAGTTCCTAGGCTATTCCCAAACGGTAGATCCTCCTGTATTAGCCTCCCAGAGGACTGGGAGCATCGGCGTGTGCCACCGTGCCCAGCTAGAGTTTAGTCTTCCCTGAGGACTGAGCTCTCTGGTGGCACACACAGCAGGCTGGAGGGGACGAGTGCCCTCTCCGCCCACGGGAAGACGCTGGGCCTCTCCTGCTTCTCGAATCTGCAATTTCCCTACTGTTTTACATGTTGTTTTACAGCCTTTTTAGTTGTTCAGACTTAGAGTAAAAGTAAAGTTACATTATTCTGTTTACTTTACAGTTACACATTAAGCGTGAGCTTTTTTGTATTTTGTTATAAGAAAATAAAATGGCTATATTTTCCACTTTGGGCTTACTGTTGTGTAAAAATTATATTTGACGGCTCTATTGAAATATAAAATGTATTGTGCAAGTCAGAAAAGCAGCGTCTCCTTCCCACCCAGAAAGCCTCTCCACAAAGGCAGCTGCAAGCTTCCAGTGATCCTCCTGCCTCAGCCTCCAAGTGCTGGGATCGCAGATGTGTGCCGCCATGCTTGGCTGGATAAGCCTTCACCTGAGCAGGGTGTGCAAGGACATCCACAGGATGGGAAGGGGCCTCGCTCTTCCTCGCAGCCTGGCATTTGTGGGGGGTCGCAGTCCCTGGGGTTCCTGTGATGGAGCCCTTCAGGCAGGGCTTCTTCACCAGAAGCACAGCTGTTATTTGCCCTGTGTAACAGTGGCATTCTTTCCAAGGAGCAGCGTGTGGTCTGACACATCTTCCTTTTGCACCCCTCTGCCCCTCCATCTCTTGCTTCCCTTCTCATTTACAAAATAATTACTTCCTTGTTTTCTGTTATCTATCTTTTAATTTACTTGTACTTTAGGTCTCTGAAGTAGAAAACGTGATGTTTAAGCTTGTGTGTCTGATTTCACTAAATATAAACATTCTGGTCTCCAAGTACATCCATTTTCCCAGAAAACCTGAGTTTATCCTTTTTTGTGGCACAGTAGTACTCCATCATGTGTAACTGAGCCCAAGGTCAAGGCACTGGCAGGTTGGGAGTCTGGTGTACACCATGGCACCTCACCCCCCACCCCCACCCCCCGTAGTGACTGCACCCTAACCGGACCACATGGGAGCCTGGGTGTAGAGTCTGAGGGCTAGTGAGGTCTGCCCCTCCCAGGGGGGGCCGTGTTTTCCCTCACTTCATTTCAGGGCTCGCACCCAGAGCCCAGGAGTCCCTGAGTTCTGAGTTCCGAGGATGGTGGTCGGCTTGCCTTAGCCCTGGATCCAGCCAGATATAGCGGCGCACGCTGTAACCTGGCACTCTGGGAGGCTGAGGTGGGAGAATGGCACGTTTGAGCCATTTAAAAAATGTTCAAGCCTAGGGAACGGCAAGTCCATGAATCTAAATTTTAAAAATTAAAAAAGGGCTGGGGATTACAGCTCCGTGCAAAGACTGTGGGTTCAGTCTCCAATACTAGAAAAAAGCTACATACATGTGAAAAGGATGGAGAGGAAATTCTGAAAGTAGAGGTGTGTGGGGTTTCATTCCACATTTTCTTTTTTTTTTTTGCCTTTTTGAGACAGGATCTCACCATGTGGCCCAGGCTGGCCTCAGACTCATGGTGATCCTCCTGCCTCAGCCTCTCAAAAAGTGTTGGGATCACAGGTGTATGCCGCCATACCTGACTTTTTTACTTTTCTTGTTTAGTTTCTAGAATGGTGTAGCATTCTTGGGAGTGATGTGGTACCGGTCCTGGCTTGGGTTTTTTTGCTTCAGTCCATTTTGTCATGGCTGTGAGAATAACTCTAGCTCGGGGACTAGGATAACCACTTGGTGAGATCCCATGACCAGGGAATTTTTACACATTAATTAGAGGTGCAGTCACTCAATAGCTCTAACCCTAAAAACACTAATACTGTGCCCTGAACCTGATGGCACCTGTGGGCCACACAACAGGGCTGGGCCTGAGCCACATGGACGCTGTCAGGCCGCAGCGCACCTGAGCCCGCTGCTCTCTTCTTCCAGCTCGTACGTGAGGTTTGACATCATCCGAAGGGTCCTGACCAAGGTCTTCGGGTGCGGCGTCGTCATGGTGATGGGCATCACCGATGTGGATGACAAGATCCTCAGACGAGCCCGCGAGGTGAGCACTGGGTCGTCAGGGGAGCTGTTGGTCCAAGAGGAAGTCACCTCTGGTCGCTGCGACTCCTGGCCTGGGTCCGTTCATCTTCACTGTGTAACCTTGAACTCCTGGTGATCCTCCTGCCTGTGCTTCCCAAATGCTGGATTACAAGCATGCTCCGCCACAACTAGCTTTATTTTTTCTTAAAACAATTTAATGAATCAGATTTATAATCCAGCAATAGATATACATTCTTTTTTGATCTAAAACAGTTCTTTTTCATCTGAGAGTGGTGGTGCACACCTGTAATCCCAGCACTCAGTGGGAGGGTCGCTGTGAGTTTGAGGCCACCCTGCGCTGCGTAGCAAGATCCTGTTTCAAGAAAAAACATATTTTCCTAATTTTCGTTTCATGGAAATCAGTATGCCACATCAGGTTAGGTGTTCAGCAAAATGTACCACTCTGCCCACGAAGGTCCTTCACAAGTTGGTCCTCTTTCCTTTTTCCTCTTTTGTGAAACTGGAGTTGAACCCAAGGCCTCATTCACACTGACCTGCAGTTCCAGCCCTTTTTAAACATCAATCCGTGTTTCTATTTCAGTTTTATTTTTGCATTTAGAAAACGTTCCGTACAGTTTTACACATACTCACGCGTGAGAATTATGCGAGCAGATGTGTGTGTGCGTGTCTTCATTCAGACACGCGTAGGCATGAGAAACAGCACGTGTAAGGTAATGGTCACCTCTTACAAGGTAGTTAGTTCTGGTGCATTAGAGCCTGACCTATCGTCCCTACCGGTTTGCTCTCATTGCCTTTGTACGCACGCAGGTGAGAACAGTGGGTAACACCGGGGATTGTTGCGTCTACGGGAGTCACATTGGTCCCCACATGGCGCGGCGCGTGGAGCCCACTCCCGCCGCCCCCCACCCGGGGCAGTTGTCAGGACCGCCCAGTCCCTCACCACACGGCAGTGGCTCCGGAGGCAGCTGTGAGAAGGAGCGGGATGGAAGTCACCGCTGTGGGTCCCCCGTTGGTGGGGTCGGACTCCAGGGCGCATCTTACTTCCCGTCTGCTCTTTACGCCAGAATTGCGGCATGTGTCTTGTGCTGGGGTAACGGCTCCGTGCTGTTTCTCTTTGCAGTTACTTTAATTCCCCAAAATAACCCCTTGACTTCTTTGAACTTCTCAGAAGACAAACTTGGGAATGGGTCAGAAGACTTGTGTTATCTGGGTGACAGTTCCTCCCAAATTGATTCATAGAGTCAGTAAAATCTCTCTCTGGATATTTTGGTAGGAAATAGAAGGCTGGTTCGAAAACTGAAATGGAGCTTGAGTTTCTGGGCTTCTGACTTTCCATGTGTGAGCGTGACTGAGCTGTTTCCTGGGTTTCCCCAGGGGGGCAGTGCCGCAGCTGTGTCACTGCGTGAAGTCGGGCAGGACGGGTGGCCTGCAGCTACTCCAGGAAGCTCCCTGATCCTTCGTTCCTCGCTGAGCTCTCACCTCAGTCCTCTCACTGCTGCCCAGTAGGTCTTGCTGTGTAGCCCAGGCTGGCCCCGCCTTGTGCCTGACCTCCTGTTTCAGCCACTGCGTGTCTGTCTCGGAACACCTGTTTGGGAGCCATTGCGGTCATCGCTGGGACGGACGGGCAGGCCCGGCAGTGAAGAGGGGTGGCCGGCGTGCTGAGGCTGGCTTCAGTGTCCTGGGGTCCTGAGGCCCCTCTGGCCTGGATGGCAGAGGGCGGTGGGCAGGGCGCTGGCCGCAGCACAGGGACGCGGGGTCTGGAGAGGCCCTCAGCAGTGGGGAAAGCACCTGCTTTCCCAGACAGCAAGGAGCCTAGTGTGAGTGTGCAGCGGCGGAAACTTGGTTTTTGGTAGCGCAGGATTTGCCATCCTGATAAGCTGTGCTGCTCCTGAACCACGTCAGACTCACCTCACTCACTGTCCAGGCTCTTTGCCAATCTTTGGCACCGACCTCTCTGTTTCTGACCAAGCCCCTTCCTGCCCTGCGATGCTGTTCCCGCCTCAGTCACTTCCGTGCACTGCACAGCTCCTGTCCTCCACCTGCTTACTTCACTGACCATGGCGTCCTCAGTGTTCATCCATGCGCAGCCTGGGCCAGAATTCTCTTCATTTTAGGGCTGAGCGATATTCCCTGGCATGGGTGACCACATATTTCTTTGTTTGGTACCGGGGATCGAATGCAGGACTTTGCACCTGGGAGGCAGGCGCAGTGCCACTGAGCTACATCCTCAGCTGATTTTGTTTTTTGAAACAGTCTCAGACTTGCGGCAGTCCTCCTGCCTCAGCCTCTCGAGTGCTGGCATTGCAGGTGCATGCCACCATGTCCTGGCCAGAGGCCCACTTTCCGTGCCTCAGAATGGTGGTATGCTTTGGCCTGGCTTCCTGGGAAGATGGAGCTGCATTCCCAAAAGGCTGAAGGCTCCGCCTGAGGGTGAGAGGGGCGAGCTGAGGAGCACAGGGACCAGGGCAGGCAGAGGAGCAGACCCTCAGGTGTCACCGGCTGGCTTGGTTGGGGACCATGCAGGCTTTGGCTGTCGCCAGGGGAGTGCACATGTGTGTCCTTGCCTAGGTGTGGTGCTCAGGTGCGTTCCTGGTGGGACAGAGGGCTAGGAGCACATGTCTGGGCTGGATGCATCGCGCGTGGAGCAGATGGCAGCCTCTGAGAGACCAGAGCTGCGGGGTGCGGCTGGAGCAGAGGCCGGGTGCAGATGGCCATGTTTGTGTTGTTCAGGCTGGGGCTGCGTGTCTGGGAGGGGAGCCCAGCGGGCATGGCAGTGGGAGCCCCGAGGCCCAGATTGCATAGGATTTAGATCCTCCCGAGTGGAGCAGGAGGCTGTGAAGTTTAGGGGCTGCTTTGTCCCTTGTCCTCTGCACAGATGGAAGTGAACAGATTTATTTTTTACTAAAAACACTAGTTTTGCCCCAGAACTGGACTCCAGGCACCACCCTGCATGGTGTTGTGTTGTCCAAGGTCTTCCCCAGGGACATTGGAGAATTGTCCATCTCCCTGCGTTCACTGCATGTCCCCAACATCTTCAGGCCATTAGCTGGGGCTGCGTCCCCGCAGGGCCACGAAACGCCAAGGTTCAGTTTCCTGTGGTGTTGGTGTTGGGGTGCCTAGGCCCCAGGCACATGGAGCTGCTGGCCTCAAATGCGTCTGAGCAGTTTGCAGAAGATTTTTACTGAGTGTGGTGGTGCACGCCTATAATCCCAGCACTTGGGAAGCTGAGGCAGGAGGATCGCTGCTACTTCAAGGCCAGCCTGGACTATATATTGATACCCTGTCTCCAAAAAAATCTAACTTATGTGATGGATATCATGATATTTAGTTTTCCTTTTGCTGTTACCAGCTAACAAGGTGGTCAGCCTGCAGTCTTGATGAGCCATTGGTGCAGGGTTTCTGTTGCTGTTTGAGACAGTCTCTCCGTGCAGGTCTGGCTGGCCTTGAACTCGTTGTGCAGTCCAGGCTGGTGGCCAACTTGGGTCCTCTTGCCTCAGCCTCCGTGCTGGGGCAGGTCTAAAACCCAAAGCCAGCGGCCCTTTCTGGAGTGGGCGGAGCCCAGCTGAGGGCCCTACAGGCTGCTGAGCCCATCCGTCCCTTCTGCAGATGGACATGTCGCCTGCTGCCCTGGCCAGGAAGTATGAGGAGGATTTCAAGCAGGACATGGCAGCCCTGAAGGTAGGCGCATGGACGCTGGCCTGGCTGGGGACAGTGGCCTGGCTGGAGCTGCAGCTGGGCCTGGAGGAGGGCCGTGTCCTGCTTTGAGCTGGTACCGCAGTGGCAGAATACATGGCTGGGGAGTGATGCAGGAGCAGCTGCCAGGGCTGCAGTGGGCAGCTGTGGCCGGAGTGGCCGTGGTCTTCCCAAGCCAGAGCTGCGCCCATTGAGGGCTGGTGCCCAGCCCCATCTCTGCCCTCTCCCAGGTGCTGCCGCCCACCGTGTCTTTGCGAGTGACCGAAATGGTGCCCCAGATCATCTCTTTCATTGAAGGAATCATCGCCCGTGGGTACGCATACGCCACGGCGAGAGGTACTGACCGCGCAGGTGGCGCTGCTGTGTCCCTGCTGGTGCTGCCGTGCTCACAGGCTGTGCTCCGGGTCCCTGCCACATGGTCCTCCCTGCAGCCATGGGCGAGGTGGCTGGAGACTGGCCCCTGTGGTCTTCTTGTTCAGGAGCTTTCAGAACCAAACTCTAGGGATGAGGCAGGCCCTCCCACACTGCTCCCACGCATCAGGGCCTCGCCTGGTCTGTGCACTGTAGGGGTGCACCTGGCTGCACCCCCAAAGTCAGCTGCCCCTGAGCCAGCATCAGACCTGTGATGCCTGCTCCCTGCAGCGCTCTGTGCCCTGTAGCCACCACCTCCCATAATGGAGCCAGGCCCTCGCTGTGTGGCTCTGTCGCTTGATGTCTGTGTGACTTCCTCACGAGACCCTGTGCCACCTGCCTCAGCCCCTGGTCCTGGCCAGCACCTTCCTCTGGGGGCCCTTGGTCCCAGGCTCCTTCCATCTGCAGCTGGCACCTCTTGGCTACCCTTTCCATGCAGCCTTCCTGTGCCCCACCTCCCAGAGTCCACTCCTGAGGGTTTGTTTGACTTAGTGGCTGTTTAGTGTCTGTGGCAGCAGGTTCTGTGCTTTGCTGTTTAGGGAAGTCATGTCTGCCCTGTCCAGGTTGTACATTTTTAGACCTTAAAAACCTTTGGCTTTGAGCTGGATGTGGTGGTGTGTGCCTGAAATCCCAGCTCTTGGGAGGCCGAGGCAGGAGGATCGCTTTCAGGCTGGCCTGGGCTACACAGTGAGCTCAAGGCCAGCCTAGACTGTGTAGAAGTCTCAAAAACCAAATCTCAAAAACAAAAAAAAAAAACTTTCTGCTATTGACATCCCACAGGGCACCCAGCCCAGGCCTGCAGCTGGGGAGGCCCTGTGGATGCGGACACAGGCGTGCTGGGCTATGACCTGTCCCGGGAGCCCCGTGCTGTGGGAGCGTGGCAGTTCTTGCCTGGTCTCGTTTGTGCGTGGAGCTCATCTCCCAAACAACTTTGTTTTTCTGGTCCTGGGGGTGGAACCCAGGCTTTGCACTGAGCTGCGTCCATTCCCTTTGAGTGTTCTGAGACAGGGTCTGGCTTCATTGCTAAGTTGCCAGACTGGAACCTGAGACCCTCCTGCCTTAGCCGTGCGGCTCAGAAACCTTTAACAAAGGCTGAGGTGATGAGGGGACCTCACTGCTTAGAGCACAGGGTCCCTAGTCCTCCTGAGCTTTCAGAGAAGTGGACAGGACCGCATGAGGCTGGGGACCCCTTCACTCCTGTGTCATTGTAAACTTTTAGCATCAGCATAGACATGATCAATCCAGTTAATCCAAGGCACTCTGACCCTTGAATTCACGGAGATCTTCCTGCCTCAGCCTTCCCAGTGAGTGCTGGACTATAGGGGTGCACCACCTCGCCCAGCTTCTGTGTGTGAATTCCAGTGACTGTGGAGACTCGGCTTGCCTGGAAATGGGTTCCACTCTGAAACATGGGCCTTCACCGCCATCTCTGAAACAGGTAACGTCTACTTCGATCTGAGGGTGAGAGGAGACAAATACGGCAAACTGGTCGGCGTGGTGCCCGATCCAGCCGCAGAGGCAGGTAGGTGGCGGGGCATCCCGCCATTCAGCTGCCCTGAAGAAGGCTTCCGTAGCTCTGCATGCCCCTTGGCTCTGTGTTCCTGTGCCTTCTGGGAGTCAGGGGTCCATGTGCCCTTGTGCCGTGGCCGGAACTTGGTTCATGTAGGGAGGAGCCCTGAAGTCCTTGGGAGGGAGAGTGGGTGTCTGGGGCACTGTCCTCCTGCTGTACCCGCTGACAGCCTCCTGTTGCAGGGGACTCGGACAAGCAGCACGCGGGCGACTTTGCGCTGTGGAAGGCGGCCAAACCCGGGGAGGTGTCCTGGACCTCCCCCTGGGGACCCGGCCGGCCTGGCTGGCACATCGAGTGTTCTACCATAGCTAGGTGAGGGCCCTTCCCAAGTCAGCACAAGTGGATTTGCAGCAAGGCAGCCTGGCCCCAGGTTGTCCAGTATGGGGCAGGCAGAGGCAGCACACGGTAGCTCAGCCTTGTCCAGTCTGCCTCACTCACCTGGGGCCCTCGCTTAGAGCAGGGTCGGAAGATGTGGTGATGCTCAGATTAAAACATTTATCACAGAAGGACATGGCCTCGAATCGCCTTCAAAACCCTGTTCAACACACTGGTCCCAAGGTCCTCGCTGCTTCCTGCAGCAGCTCTGGAGCCCTCTTTCCTGAGGGTCTTTACTGGCACTGTCCTGGCTGCCTCGGTGTCCTCAGTGGATTTGGAACATGCAGGGGACTGTAGTATTGATTGTGCCCAATGCAGCTGTAAGTGTAAATTTGCTTTTTTGAGAAGTGAGTCTGGCCAAAGCCTATGTGCCAGGATCAGGGTAACTCACACTCAAATTCCATTCCCACAACTAAAACCTTCTGACTAGAAGGACAGTGTTCCAGTTACAACCATGTTTTGTCTCCTCTGTTAACTCAAGATTGCTTTGTCTTGTCCTTTACAGACCTCGCTTGCCTTAGTTTCCACAGAAACTGATGGACTGCGTGTCCTCAGGTGGAGTTCCTCTTTAGCACAGAGCTTGCCTTTACCCCAATTGATTACCAATAAAAATCAGTCGCTGGGACTGTCCAGCACCTCTGCTAAATAAGAGCATTGGCTGCCCTGGCTCCCCAGTTTCTCTCTTTCAGTTTTTTTTCTCAGCTTTGTGCCATAGCTCTGAGTAGGAGATCAGAGCCCACTGCACAGGTCTCTGATAAAGGTTTGCCTTTGTGGTCATTCTGACTTTGGGAGGAGCCAGGAGTCACACAGTGCGCGATCCGGTGACTAAGGAGGACGAGGACATAGCACATGTTCTTCTAGCTGGCTTTCCCTTGGGTGGCGCTTGGCGGCAGCAATCACTGTATTTTTGATCACACCTCAGAGACACTCAGGCAAGAGGCCTCCAGAGCTGCTGCAGAAATGGGACCTCCGAGGGAGGGCTTGTGATGGCAGAGCATCTCTCCCAGGATAAATCTTTTACTTTAGATGTTCACCGTGCGTCTCATCTCATCAGCACTTTGCTGTGGCCTGGGGTGCAGGCGCTGGCATGTGGGGTGCGGGTGAGGGTAAACCCATGTGGGGAGCTGAGCCCACACCCAGCCACTGGGCCTCCCCCACCCCGCGGACAGCTCTGGCGTCACCGTGGCATCTGAGCCCTCTGACCCTGCCCCGGTCTTGCAGCTCTGTGTTCGGGAGCCACCTGGATGTGCACTCGGGCGGCATTGACCTCGCCTTCCCGCACCACGAGAATGAGATTGCGCAGTGCGAGGTCTTCCACCAGTGTGGGCAGTGGGGCAACTACTTCCTGCACTCTGGTGAGCACCACAGGCCCAGGTGCCAGTGCTTTGGGTGGGCCAGGGAGGGGGCTGGGCTTGGGAGAGCGGCCACCTGCTGTGCGTGAGCTGACAGCAGGCTGAACCGGGAGCCCCAGTGTATGGGGAATGAGAACGGTCCTGCCCCAAATACTGTCCCATCCCCCCCCCGGGTCACGGCTAAAGCCTGTCCTCCCTGCACATGGGAAGCTGAGGCAGGAGAATTGCTCTGAGTTTGAGGCCAGCCTGAGCTACACATTGAGTTCAAGAACACACTGGAACAGAGAGACCTTGTCTCACAAAACTGAAACAGGAAGGACGGGAGGAGCATGCGAATGGAACTTACTGCAGATGAGCCTTCCCTGAGCCAGTGACACTCAGGCCGGCTCTGCCCATCAGCACTGGCCCCTGCTCGGTGGGCTCTCTGAGGAACAGCCTCCCATTCCTGTCCGCTGTGCTCTGGCGGAAGACCATCTTTCTCTCCGCCTGGCCTGAGGCTGTTGGAACCAGGTGTATCTCTGTGTCCCTTGGGCTGGTCAGGACAGATCCGGGCCATGGGACCCTGAAGACACAGCTCTTGTCATTAGGGACTTGTGTGCCTTGCCACGTCACTAGCATTGAATGGAAGTAGATGCCAGGCCAGGAGCCTGCATTCGGGCCTCGGTGCTGTTTCAGTGACTGTGCACTCCCAGGAGAGTGGTGGCACCTGTCATCCAGGGCCCTTGGAGTGGTGGGGACACGCAGTGCCCTGGGAGGGGACAGCTGTGGAGGCCCCAGGAGCCCAGAGCCGGGGCTGGCTCTGCAGACCTGAAGTCCTCCTCTAGGTGCTGGCCTCCATGCTGTGTCTTCACACAGCATGGTGTGGTCTCGGCCTCTCACCAGGGCCTTCTGTGTGTCCCAAGGGTACCCCATTGGCACCCTGGCACGCAGTGGGATGAGACCTCTTAAGCATTGGAGCGAGCACGCCTGTGTTCCAGTACTCCGGGAGGCGGAAGCAGGAGGAGCACAGGTTCAAGCCTAACCTGGGCACCTTAGTGAGATCCTGTCTAGAAATAAACTAGAAAGGGCTAGGGACACAGCTCAGTGCAAAGGCCCTGGATTCAATGCCCAGGTCCATGCACATAAACAAAAAGGGCACAGGAGGCATTCAGGGCCCAGGGCACTGCTCTCTGAAGAAAGGAGGTGGTTCTCTTGGGACCCCCACCCCTCCTGGCTCCCCCTCCGAGGGGGTCTCCCTGTCACCACCATGGTGATGCCACCACCAGGGCCACGCCTAGGGCGCCTGTGCCCTGGGGTCTCAGGAACCCCAGAAACAGAAGAACCCTGTAGAGGAGGAGATCATGACCGTGCAGGCCATCTCATGAGGGCCACCTCGTGTGTCCCCTCCCTCCATGTGAGTCCTGGAAGACACACGTCCCAAGCCCCGAGAAGCGTTTTGTTTCCAGATTTAGAGCACTGAGCTATGCGTGGGTGTACAGTGTTAGGCAGAAGGACACGTTCAAGGTTACGTTGCTTTTCAGAAGGTGCATTTTAACCAGTTTTCAGAAAAACCGGTTGCAGAGAACTCTTACTGCAAGTTGTATTAGGTTCTTTGGCTTTGTGAGACAAGGTCTCACTATATAGCCCAGGCTGGTCTGGAACTTGAGGTGATCCTCCTACCTCAGCCTCCTGAGTGCTGGGAATGGTGGACTGGCTTGAAGTTGGGCTAGGGAAAGCAGAGGCGTTTTCTGGGAGGAACAGTGGGCTTCGCTTGGAGATGACTTTGGTGACAGCATTGTCTATGGGGAGCCCCAGGTGGACTCGTCCCTCCTCCCTTCGTGCACTCAGGTGACCCTGTCCTGTGTGGAGAGGTTGGGGAGGCCTGTTCCGTCCCTTGTGTGGGGACATCAGCATCCTGGGGTGCAGGACAGGAAGCTCCATGGTGCTGCTGCTGGCCCTGCTGGCCCTCCTGACCTCAGAGTGGCGCAGGTGGACGGGAAGCCACAGAGGCCCCACGTGGTATCAGCAACTGCAGGCCCTGCTGCCTAGTAGCTTCGGCTTCGGTTCAGGGCCTGGACAGTGGGTGGTGGGCAGTGTCCTCCTGCCCTGCCCACTTAGGCACCTCGGCCGTTGCAGGGCATCTGCACATCCAGGGCCAGGAGGAGAAGATGTCCAAGTCCCTGAGGAACTACGTCACCATCAAGGTAACCTGGACTGGCTCTGCCCATACAGCTTGCCTGCTTTCCTGCAGCCCCCCTCCCAGTGAGGTCCCCTCCCTGTCCCCAGAGCTGGGTCTCCTTTCAAGCCTGGCTGTGGCTTTCTTGGTGGGCATGGCCTGTCACACCATCTCCCATTTTCCTCTTTCTCAGTTTTGTTTTTGGTTTTTTGGTACTGGGGATCGAACTAGGGATCGTGCGCTTGCGAGGCAGGTGGCTGGCGGCACCACTGATCTAAGTCCTTGGTCTATTGAAACCCTATGTAGCCCATGCTGGCCTTGAACTTGTGGCAATCCTCCTGCCTCAGCCTCCTAAGTGCTGGGATGACAGGTGTACACCACCATGTCCATCCAGCATGTTCTTTTTTGTAGCACTGAGTTTGTACCCAGGGCCTCTGCACAGAGCTCCATCCCTAGGCCTTTTCTAAAATTTGAGACAGGGTCTCACTGAGTCACTAGTTTCCCGGGCTGGGCTGAAACTTGAGGTCCCCCTGCCTCAGCCTCCACAGTGCTGGGATTAGGGGTATGCACCACTGGGCTGCTTAGTGCATTTTGTGATGATGGCGTCCTACACCTTGTTCTAAGCTTTTTGGGTCGCTCACTGTCTCCTCTCTTCCTGGGTGTTGCGCTGTCCTGCGTCCTGAGGCCCTGGGTCGCTGTGGGCTGTTTCACATGGTGCCTGCATACAGTGCTCCAGGCCCCAGGGCCTAGCCGGCCGGGCCTGAGGGTGGGTGGCTATGGTGAAGGGGATGCAGCCAGCCCTGGCCCCACGGCAGCTGTGGGCCGAGGGGCCGTGACCGATGCTGCCTCCCTCCCAGGACTTCCTGCGCAGCTTCTCGCCTGACGTCTTCCGGCTCTTCTGCCTGCGAAGCAGCTACCGGTCAGGTAAGCAGAGGCCGTGTCCTGGGCCAGGGACCTCATGTTTGCTCCTTGGTGGCTTGAGCCAGGTGTGGAGGTGCACACCTGTCACCCAACACTCAGAAGGCTGAGGCAGGAGGATTGCAGGGAGCTCAAGGGCAGCCTGGACTGTACAGCAAGGCCGTGTCTCTCTCTCACACACACTCACCCCACCGGGAGGCACAGTCCTGGGACAGCTGGACGCAGGCCCCAGTGAGCTTTGTCCTGGCAGTGGCTGCTGGAGTTCCGGCCCCTGTGCTGGGAGGGCCCTTGGTCCCTCCGGCCTCTGCTCAGCAGCGCCTCCTCCTTGCAGCGATCGACTACAGCGACAGCACCATGCAGGAGGCCAGCCGTGTCCTGTGCGGGCTGGCCTCATTCCTGGAGGACGCGCGTGCCTACATGCAGGGACAGCTGGCCGGCGGCCCCGTCAGTGAAGCTGAGCTGTGGGACAGGTGAGCTGGCCGGAGGCGCTGAAGGCAGCTGGCGCGGCTGGGCTTCAGGGTGTGACAGTGGCGGTCCTATCACCCTGGAGACACCTTCAGGGAGGCTGTTGGGGACGTGGACGAGCTGGCAGTGAAGGACCGAGTGGCTGGGCCTGGGTGCATGCCTGCCATCACAGCACTCGGGAGGCTGAGGCAGGAGGACCAGTTTTGAGCCTGGCTGAGGACCTTAGACCTGGTCTCGATACAGTGAGGGGAGCTCAGGGTGTAGCTCAGGGCAGGGCCTGCGATCTTGTCCCAGCACTGGAAAAGCATGGGAGAGTGAGAAAGGAAGAGGGAAGGAAGGGATGGAGGGCAAGGGCGCACGGCTGAAAGCCACCCTCGTCAGGAGTGCACAGGTCCAGGGCACCGTGAGAGGAGCACTGCCACCCCGCAGAGGCCCCGAGCTGGAGGGGGACCCAGGTGAGGGGACAGGGCAGAGCGGGGGGCTGGGTGGACGTGGAGAGAGGGAGGCTGTGGCATGGGATGGCAGCCACGGTGTGAGGACAGTGGCCGTCGTGACCTCGCCAGAAGCTGTGCCGGAGCAGCTGGGCTCTGGGGACCCTGGGCCTCAGGAAGGCAGACAGTGAGGACTGCGGCAAGGGCACTGCCAGAGATGGAGGGCGCAGCGCTGCAGGGGACCGGGTGCAGGGGACAGTGGGTGCAGCTCCCCTGGGACTCTGCCCTGCGCCTGCTCTGGCCTGGTCCCTACACCAGGCTGGTGCAACTGCTACTCGGGGCTGTTGAGCAGGTGGTGGAAGGCAGGGCCTCTGCTGCCCCCTCCCTGCCCAGTGGTGCAGGCTGCGCTGTGCCCGAGTCAGAGTAGGAGGGCCATTGAGGGCCGAGCCCTGGGTCCCGGCCTGCCATCCTGTCCCTCCAGGCTCCCCACGCAGGGTGCGGCGGCTGGGGTGACACAGGCCCCCCTCGTGTCACTGCTCACCCACAGGATCCCAACCAGTGGGGACGACATCTGTGTGCACAGCGCATGCTCAGACCCCAGGCTTAGTTACTTCCGCTCTAGTGTGTTTTGGTTTTGGGTGTTTTGCTTTGTCAAGACAGGGTCAGCTGGGGCTGGGATTCAGCTCAGTGGTTCCACTGCCTGCCTCATAAGCGTAAGGGTCTGAGTTCGATACCTGGTACAAAAACAAACAAACAAACAAAAAACAGGCTCAGCTGGCCACGGTGCATGGCTATAATGCCCACTTGGGAGGCTGAGGCAGGAAGACTGCTGAGAACTCAACGCTAGCATGGGCCACATAGTGAGACTCTGTTTTTCTTTTTTTTAATTTAGCATTTGTAAGGCTTTATTTTTTTAAACAAAATATAGTTATTGATAAACTTTAAATAATGCGTCATGATCACATTCCCTCATAGAGAAGTTGTACCGGTACATGTCTTGCTTTTTTCCCATCACTCCCCCTTTGACCCCTCTTCCTCTCTTTATTTACGAAAGCTTTGTTTCCATTTTCCCTTTTTAAGCAAAACATTTATTGGTATGTTTTAAATACACATAATTCTAACACTCAGCGTGGGGAAGTGGCGCCTGCAGCTGGTGTATCCGCCTCTGCTTTTCTCCCCGTCCCCTCCCTATGTACAAAAGCTTTGTTTCCACTTTTCCTTCCACTTTCCCTCCCTTCCCCTCCCTCCCTCATTCCGCTTCCCATTTCCCAGTATCTGTCATACCTTTAGGTCCTTCTTTCCCCTTGCGGTTTCTCACACCAGAGAAGCCTTGCAGTGCTTGATGTGTGCATCTGATTCATTTCGCTTAAGCACACGGTCTCAGATCTGGCAGATGTCCTTGCAAGTCCCTGGAGGTCGGGGCAGCAGACTCCATGGGGGCTGCCGTCCTTACTGCTGGATAGAAAGGAAGAGGAAAGACAGGGTCTCCCTGCAGCCCAGGCCGGCCTCCTCCTGAGAGCTGGGCTACAGGGTGGCACCTCGCCCAGCCTCATGTCCTTGGCTAGCTGCGTCTGGACGTGACCTCAGAGCCCCCATGTCCAGTGCCAGGTCGCCCTTCTCGTTTGTCCAGAGGGCCCTGTTGGCGTCACTCACTTCCTGCGTTTTCCTCAGGCTCAGTAGCACCAGCAGCACCGTGAGGACTGCGCTGGCCAACGACTTCGACACGCCCAGGGCACTGGATGCCATCCTGGGCCTGGTGCGTCTGGGGAACAGGCAGCTCAAGGCGGCTGCTGAGGTAACTCCGGGCTTCTCATCGGCGAGCCTGCCGACCCCACCACTCTGGAGCACCAGTGTCCCAAGCTGGTGGCTTCCGAGTGCCCCCAAGCCCTCCCTTTGTGGGTCCCCCTAGGCTCCAGCGTGCACCTCATTGGGCCTTCAGGGCCCCAGCCTTGACTGTCAGTGCCAAAGGACACACGTCTCAGGTGGGTCCCCAGTTCCTGTGTGGACAGTGTCTCTCGTGTGTGTCCAATCAGCTTTCCCACCACTGAGGCACACACAGGACACCTGGAACTCTGAGGAGGGAGGTGGAGTTGGCTCATGCTTTCAGGGGATCTAGTCCAAGGATATCTTCTCCAAGGCAGGTACATGGCGGAAGGGCCAGGGGAGCAAGCTGCTCAGTTTATGGTGGACAGAAGCAGAGCAGGATAGTGCCTGAGGAATGGGAGGGACACGCAGACCCGGGGTTACAGGGCCGTGTCCACCCAGATGCTCCCAAGCCAACACGATGGCACCACAAAGCCCAGCCATCACGGTGTGCCTATACAGTTGCCACACATGTAGTGACCACCCAGGGGCTCTGTGGGGCATGAGGGGACTGAGTTTGTGGGAACGGGAGGAAACTGTACTCGGATCCCCACCCACCCCTCAGGGTCTCCGCTCTCTGAACCACAGGCCACCGGCACTTCCTTAGAGACAAGTTTCTCTTGTTGCCGGGAGTCCAGTGCTAGTGTCTGCAGCCTGCACCATGACACTGGGCTCCCAGGGTCAGCACCTAGGTGTTGGACACACTGGGGAGGTGAACGGCAGCTCCTGTGCCTGCGCACACTTCGGAGTCTCCCTGCCACATTCTAGGCAGCCAGAGCTGGCCCTTGCCCTTGGGGACTTGAATCTAGGGAGCTCTCTGGCTACGACACAGGATCTGCAGGGCCAAGGGCTGTGGGCACCATGGAGCCCATCTCCTGCCTTTCAGGCCTCAGCCACACAGGGTGCTGCAGACCCTGCCCACGTCGGCTTGGTGTCACCTCGGGCTCCGGGGGCCTGGGGGTTCTGGGTTCAGGTCCTAGACTTGAGCTGTACCAGCTATGTCAGGGAGTCTGTGAGAAGTTCCCAGCGGGGTCCCAGGGCCAGATGCAGTGCACGGGCTCAGTCTCTGTGGCACAGAGGACTGCAGGAGCATAGGCTCGTCTGGTCTCTTGGTGGTCATCATGTTCGAGGGACCGCAGGGGCGTAGCCTGGGGAGGCTGCTGGGCAGTGGATCATAGTCTTGTCGACATCCAGAGCTCAGGCTCCTCACTTGCTCACCGAAGGCTGGGTGAGGAGGGAGCCTGGTGGTGCGTGGGGACAACGCTGGTCTTACAGGCCCCATCTCAGGGTGATGCCCGGCCTGCCCTCTTGCCCTCTGCCCACTGTGCACCACACTGCCATGCTAACGGGCAGGGAAACTGAGGCTGCACTGCCTGGCACTGCTCCCTGCATGAGCTGCCAGAGCAGGATTGTGTCCCCACTTCACAGTTGTGAGGCCACCCGGAGGGCATCGCTGCCCTGACCCTGGCTCAGTACCTCATCTCTTGCAGGGCCCCGGAGGTCCCAGGAGCCCTGCCGTGCTGGGCGCTGTGGTCACCTGTGTGGAGCAGTTCTTTGAGATGGTTGGGATCGCTCCGGCCGGTCGGCAGGTAAGCCTGGCCCTCCGGGCTCCGAGTTCCCAGTCAGACAGTGGTTGCCCTCCCCAGAATGGAGGCCTCGGAGCCGCTTGTGCCTCCCCGTCCACCTTAGCCCTCACAGCCTGGGCCTCGGCCAGCTCATGGCATCCCGTCGGGCACCCGAGTCCTATGTTTGCTCCATGACGCCATCCTCTGTGGGGCCAGAAGCTGCCCACTGCATGCTCCGGCTGCTGGGCCGGGGCTCCCCGCATCACCTGCGTTAGCTGTATGCACACACATGCGCACATGTAAACCCGCCACTCCACTCACCCACACTGCCTCCTCTGCCTCCACTGCCTGTGCCGCAGCCCCACCCCTGGCTGGCTCCCCCGCCTGCCTCTGACAGCCTGGGATGGGCTGTGCCCACCCAGGAGCTCTGTGGTCACCCTGGCAGAGCTGCCCATGGGCTGTGCGGGCTCAGGTCCAGGCTGACATCAGCCCCTCAGGACCTTTACTGTGAGCTCCATCCTGGGGCCGCTCTGCACCACCCATCACCTGGTGGACAGGGTCCCTTTGGTGATTGTGGCTTGGTGCTATCCTTGCACACTTGTGGGCCTGGCCCCGAGTCTGCAGTTGGTCAGCGAAGGGCCCAGTGGCACTGGCCCGAGGCCGCCTTTGCTCCCACCTTGGGGCCAAGGCCTGCCGCTTTCCCAGCAGCAGCAAGTGAGGACTGCAGGGGCTAAGTTCAACCTGAGTTGAAAATGACGTGGGCTGTCACTTACTTGGGGTCTTCACGGCGAGCTGCCTGCTGTTTGCTCAGCGGCTCAGGCCCGGCTGGCCACCCAGGCACAGTGTGCACGCGCACACATGGCTCACACTTTGGTTGCTTGCTCTGCACACGGTGTGCAGGGTGTCTCCCTCAAGCCCCGAGGCCGCAGCTGAACTCCTGCACTGGGGGCTGGTGTCATATGGCCCAAGCCTGAGAGGTGGCATCCGTCAGCTTGGCTTTGAAGCCACCCACCCTGGCTCCCTGCTGGCTCCCTCACAGGCCAGCTTTGAAAGGTTGCACAGATGGGCCGGGCTGTCCCGCTGCACACTGGCCCATGGCCCCTCTCAGTGTGTTCCAGGAGATGGCAGCACGGCTGCCCTGCACAGTGTGGTGGACGAGCTGGTGCGCTTCCGACTGAAGGTGCGGCAGTTTGCACTGGACACACAGGCGGCCACCGGGGATGCCCGGCGACGGCAGCTGCAGGAGAGGAAGCCCTTGCTGGAGGCGTGTGACACACTGCGCCAGGACCTCGCTGCCCACGGTGTCATCATCAAGGTGGGCGCCGCACCCGGGCAGGGGTACCAGGGCATCGCCACAGGCTGCACACGGGCATGCCAGCCCAACGCCCCACAGCCCAGGGAGATGCCACCATGGCAGGTGGGGGGCTTCGGCCATCAGGGTCACCAAGCTCAGGATGAGGCAGCCTGGGTCTTCCCGGCCACACCCTGTGCACTGGAGCCATGTCGGTGGGTGGCAGGTGACACAGCCCTCCCTCCAGGACAGAAGTGGCGCAACCTCCACCTGGGAACTGCTGGACCCACGGACGGCACAGCAGAAGCTGGGGGGCTGAGGCCACAGATGCGACCTCTCTGCAGCTCTGCCCTTCCCAGAAGAACTTTGTATTAAAGTTTTTCATCAAGGCCTTTCCACCTGCATTAAAATGGAGTGGATCTGTCCTGCCCCGGGGGCGTCTGTTTATCCTCTGCCCACTCATGGCCACCGCTCAGTGGACCCAAGCCAACAGCACCCTGGGCAGTGCAACCCCAGACCCCGTGCCTGAGGACGGCTCTGCACAGGAGCAGCCAGCCTGCCCACTCCCATTAGCTGGGATGCAGCCGCAGTGGGGCCTCAGTGCCAGCTGGTGTCATGCCCCTACCATGGTAGGTGTGCCTGAGGCTGGTTGTGGAGGATGGTGGGGTAGGGCGTGGTAGCCTTGTGCCTGGCCCAGCATCTCCACATAGGCTGGATGTCCCTAGTACCGATCCCAGGCCAGGCCTGACCTGCTGCCCATGTGGTTTATGCCCAGGCGGCCTGAGCCTTGAGTGCTTGGTGGTGCAGCTTTCAAAAAGTCCCCTTCATAGCTGCACCTGTGGTGAGGAGGCAGGGCCTCCTGGAAGAGGGCATCATGGTCGGGCCGTGTCCTCAAGACTGAGCCAAAATAAACCCTCCTCGGAGGCACAGGGATCTCGGTGGGTCCCAGCCAAAAGTGACCAGGTTGCGCCTATCCTGGCAGGCTGGCCTGAGCAGCACGAAGCCGGCTCGCTGCTGTCCCCTACCCCTCGTCCTGAGGCAGCAACCAGCCCAGCTGCAGAAGGACAGGCTAGGCGCTACGTGCTATGGGGCTCACAGGCCTGCCTGTCGCCTGGCCACTACCACTGCCGCAGGCCCAGGAAGCCCCTTCCACGTTTCACTGCAGCCAAGAGCAGTTACTATGGAACAGAATGAACTCAGCTGACCGAGTGAAGGGATTCTGTAGGGACTTGGTAAATGAACAAAAGCACAAGACTGGTTCCTGTGACTGCTGAACTTTATTTCCTTAGAAGGGGCTGTCCAGGGCTCTTAAATGACTTCAAAGCAGAAACATGACACACGGACATGGACGGACAGACAGCCTCAGCTGCTTGTCTGGCCAGAGGCCGAGAGGAGGTGGGCTCTGGTCAGACACGCAACCCTGCGTGCCCGGCTGGCTCACAGCAGGGCATGGTTTCTGCAGGACAGGCCACGGCTCGGGGCGCCGCTTCCAGGCTTCCCAGGCGCGGTCATTTCTTCAAACTCTTGAGGCTCAGTTTTCACACAGCACAAAGATCCAAGTGGCACCTGGTTCACAGCAGCACCAGAATGGTGGCCCAGGGCCCGGTGGAGACAGCCGCCTGGGGTTCCGCACACCGCAGGACCTGGCAGTCACTGATGTCCAGTTTCTATCTTCAGCACATGCGCTGCCGTCCAGAGGGACAATGACAGCCTGCACACTGGCTTCCCGTGAGCTGTGGCTCCACAGCCCCGGCGAGCCCTCTTCCCAGCACAGCACTACCACTGCCCAGGTGTGGGCTGCAGCCTCCTGGTTCCAGCGTGCAGAGGGGACGAGGGCTCAGACCCCCGCCCAGGGCCTGCACCACTGCACGTCTCACCCCCCAGGGATAAGGTGCATTCACCCCTGTAGGTGACACATTTGGGTTTGTGATGCTCCGTGAATGAACCCACAGGGCCCAGCCTGGCACTGCTTAGACAGTGCGCTTTGGAGTGGACACCTTGGCCTTGGGGACATCGGGGACAGATATGCACTCACAAGATACATGGAGCAGCCAGATCCCTCAGAGGGACGGCCAGAAGGAGGTGACAAGGCCCCTTGGGGTAGAGAAACAACCCCTGCCCTTCCCCCTCGTGGGTTCTCATGTTCTCAGTTGCACCCACACCCTGGCGAAGGGGATGATGCGGCCCTTACGCCGTCGGCTCAGGCCTCGAAGAGCTCGCGGAAGGCAGCCCCGATCTCGGCGATCATGTCACTGGTGGTGGTGGAGCGGCCGTGCTTTGAGAAGGCCTGGTGGTTGCACTGCCGCGTCAGCGAGCAGGCGCCCAGGGCAGCTACCAGCAGCGGGTGGGAGCTGCAAGGAGATGGAGGTACTGGAGAGGTGCCCATGGCTCCCCAAAACTGGCCATCTGGTTCTTCTTGTTTTTGTTAACTGCAAATCAGGCAAGATCTCACTATGGAGCCCAGGCTGCCCTCAAACTCACAGTGATCCTCCCACCTCAGCATCCCCAGTGCTGGGATGACAGGAGGGGAACCCCGCCTTGGACACCTTTCCACACCCTGACCACATCTGGGAGGATGGATTCAATGCCCAAGCTACCGAGAGAGCGGACAGAAATAGGCGTCACTGTGACCGTACCCATTTGTCTTCTCCAGTCCCGCAAGGAGGGCCCAGTGTGCCATGACGCCCAGAGAGCCTGACAGGAGGTCTCCTTGTCCCCCGCACCTGCGGCCACTGCCACTGAGGTTGCACTCAAGCACTATGGAGCACAGGGACATCAGCCCAGCACCTCCTGACCTCAGCGCCTGGGGACAGCTGGGGGAGGCCACAGGCCCAGGTGAGGACCTGGGGAAGAACAGCTGGACAGTCTCGGGCACTCACTGACCGGTGTCCGCCCATGCTGCAGGGGCCGCCATGGATGGAGGCCTCCTGTGACAAGGACCTCGCTCCAGGGCCCTCAGCAGGTCCCCTCTGCTTCCTGCACTCGTGTGTGAGTGTGCAGTGCACATGTGCCCACCATGCCACATGCCGTTCACGCCTCTGTCCTTTGCTCCTTGCACAACTGTCAGAGGCCGGCCAGCTGCAGGCAGGTCCCCACCCTTGGCACCAGGAGCAAGGCTTGGGGAGACATCTTGGCCCCGCCCCTGCCCTTCTGCTGTGGCTTCAAGGGTCCCTGTTTCCTGGTCAGTGCATGGAACGGCACAGCAGACAAGCTCAGGTGACTGGGCGGGCAGGGGATGCTGGGGACACGGGCCCCACTGCAGCACCGCATCCATGCCCGCCCTCTCGAGCCTGAGGCAGGGGACATGCTCCTGGGAGCCCGCTCACCCTGCTGGCCATCAGAGATGAGGTCATGCTCCCCCTTTAGGACCACCGTCACATTCCCCAGGGCCCGGCTGAGCTTCAGGATGGATCCACGGGGGTCAGTTCGGTCCACAGGGTCGCTGAGCTACAGTGACACAGAGGTTGGCACACAGCCTGCCCTGGGCAGCACGGGCTTGGGGAGCAGCCCTGTCCCTTCCTCCTGTCCCGGCATCACCGGGCACCTGCTCGAGACCACGTGGTGGGAGGAGGCCTGAGTGTCATGCGAGTGGCGTACATGCCTGGCTCCACAAAGTCCCGCTCATTTCTACTGGGAAGTAGGTGTCCCAGGCTGCCGGCATGCAAGGAGCACCCCATCCCACACCGCTGCGCTGCGCACTCACCACGGCCTCATGCAGCCTGCTAAACTCCACGTGGTTGGGCGTAAGGATGGCCTTCTGGTGCCCGAGGATCAGCGCCGGCCACTGAGCCACCAGCCACAGCCCGTCCTATGCACCGAGGGTGCTGTCACTGGCTGGCCAGCCCAGGCGGGCCCTGTGCTGGCTGCGTGCAGGGAGGCCACACTCACCGCGTCGATGACCAAGGGGATGTCCCTGCTCCTCGCAGCTTCCAGAATGCCCTGGCAGAGAAGAAAGCACATGGGCCACGAGCCACGCAGGGCAGCTCCAGGCACCAACAGGGCGAACACAGCACAGGAAGCGAACCAAGGCCACAGATGAAGAGCGGGCCGGGACCTGGGGACCTGTGCTCAGGAAGCTTCAGATGATCTTGTCAGGAAACAGCCATGGGGTGGAAGTGACACAAGGACAGCACAGAGCCCAGGACACTCCCAATGCGGGGCCTTGAGGACCTCAGCCACGTTCTGAAGGAGAGGCGTCAGTGAGGTTGGAGGGGTCCACGTGGCCATCACCACCGTCCTCAGCCCTGTCCTGTGTGGCTCCCTCAGGCAGGGTGAGCCCTGGGCACCCCTGGGTGCTGTCCTCTCCCAGGACCCACACACTGCACGCTGCCTCGAGCCTTCAGCCCCCCACCTGTCAGTGTCCTCCCGGGTCCAGGATTTCCGCAGGGGAAAAGCTTTTACAGTCCGAAGTCGTGGGGACTCCCAACGCACTGGCACAGCCAGGACACATGTGTCTGGTCACCATGCCAGGAGGGCAGCCAGAGTGAATTCTCTTCCTCTGTGTGGCTGGGGACTGAACCCAGGGCCTTGAGCATGCCAGGCAAGCGCTTTCGGCTGGGCAGACTGCTACAGAGCCCTGCTCTGCCTGGGCCATGCAGAGGGCAGAGCTGGCAGGGCTGTCTTGGGGACCATGGCCCTACTGTGCCGTGCACCCCAGCTGCCTCTGGCTCGTTGCTGAGACCTGGGGACCAGGAGATGAGGCACTCCCACTGCAAGCCCTCCCCATGGGCACTCAGTGGGCACCAGGGCAACGAAGACAGCACCATGCTTGTTACACTGCCCCCCTTGCGGGACACGATGTGGCCAGGCCTTCTGGAAGGGCAAGGGCGCAATCACTCGATCCCTGTCCCCTGTGCCTCAGCCTGCACTGTGCAGTCACAGCCCCACTGCACACGTGGCCGGGAGCAGCAGGAGCCAGAGAAGCTCTGCTGGAACCTGGGGGTGCACTCCCGAAGGGACTCCATTACCTCCCCTGATCCAGGACGGGTGTGGGGCTGGAGATGTGCTGGGTGCTGAGCATTTGCCTCATGTGCACCCCCCAAAAAGGCAAATGAATGTCCAGTAACAGATGACAGCAAGAAGGATGTGTGTGTGTACGTGCGGCCAGGTGTGAGCAGACAGCCACACTGTCACAGGGCACCAGCTGGGCCAAGCAGGACAGCAGTGTCCCCACCCCAAGGCCCAGGACTCGGGATGCAGGGACCACAGCCCCGGAGCTGGACCTGCACTGACGCCCAAAGCAGAGGCAACAGATGGCAGCGGCTTTCTGAAGTGCCCCATCCCGACCGGCACCGTGACAGTGACCTGGATGCCAGGCACTGACCTGCAGGCTGTCTAGTGCCAGCCGCAGCTCCACAGCCCTAGGGGCATCATGCTTTACACGGCCCCAGATGCACCAGAGGCGCAGTGGCCGCCGGGCCCTCCCCACCCTCCGCCCGGGACCGTGAACAGGGCGCTCACCCTGATGCTGTCCAGCACCAGCCCATCTCGGCCCAGGCCGGGCCCCACCACCAGGGCGTGCATCCGGGGCAGCCACTTCTCCAGCTCAGGCACGGCGTCCGGGCTGTCACTGGGCAAGGAGAGGGCAGAGGAGCCTTAGGGCTCCCGCCTGCTTGCTTCCTGCAGTACTTTGTTGTGAAAGGAGGATTTCCTTTGCTATTTTTTAATTTTTAAGATAAATTTTATCTTTTTTTGGTGGAGGAGCACTGAAGTTTGAACTCAGGACCTTGTGTTTGTGAGGCAGGCAGTGGCACCACTGAGCTATATCCCTGGCCCAATTTTATCTTATTTTACTCTCCCTGCCAGCCCCTGCTGTCATGTACATAAGTTTTGTCTCCATTCTGAAAGGGCTTCCCATTTACAGGGACACAGGGGCACCGCAGCACCCCTGGGTCTCCACCCAGCACAGATGCTGCTTCACGGCCACGAAAGTGGAGACCCCGCTCCCGAGCCACACCGGCCACAAGCCCCCCAGACAGTGCTGGGCACGGCCATGGCCGAGGAGGGCCCAGGAAGCCCCGTGACAGCTCGGGTCCCGGCGCCAGCAGGACTCACAGCACTGGGTGGACGATCAGCTCCGGGCTGTAGGACTTGATCACTGGTGCTGCCTCCCTGACACAGAACACGTGGGACAGATCCGCACCCTGGGAAACCAGGCAGGGGATGGAGCAAGAGCCCACGGGCACAACACCCTCCCCGCCTCCTGCTCCACCAGCCCAACCCTCAGCGCAGTCGGCAGCAGGAAGTGTGTGGGCCCTGGGAAGGAAAGGATGGAAGGATTGTAGGGCGGGAGGGAGGAAGGAGGGAAAGGAGGAGAAAGCGGGGAAGGAAAGACCTACAGCTGCATGCCGGGGAGCCCAGCTACTTGGGAGGTTAAGGCAGGAAGATCTCAAGTTCCAGGCTGGCCCAAACAATTTAGTGAGCTTCTTTCTCAAAAGAAAAAAGGTGCTTGCCTGATACTGGCAAGGCCCTGCATTCCATCTCCAGCACCACCAAAAAAAAAAAGTCTGGAGACAAAACTAGACTCCCACTGCCACCTGTGGGGAGGGGGTCAGAGTCACAGCCCAGTGCACCATGTAGGTCCCCAGGGAGCCCAGGCACAGGTCCCCCCTGCCCTGGGCTGTGGGGCTGAGCAGAGTACACAGGAGCTTGGTTTCAAAGGCACTCACTGCATCCCTAAGCTCTGCCTGATGCGGCGGCACAGCAGGGTCTCTGGGCCCTGTGATGGCACAGGAAGCCAGGACAGATTTTGCAGAGGTGCATCCACTACATGATTACATCAAGGTGTTGTGTCGGCTTCCGTCAGGAAACATTAGAGTAACTTCTGTTTTGTTTTGGGTATCGGGGATCGAACTTGGGTCCTTGTGCTTGCAAGGCAGGCAGCGTAAATTGTTTTGTTTTCTGAATTGGGGTCTTTCTACATAGACCAGGTTGGCCTTGAACTCAAAATGTAGCACAGGCTACCCTTAAATTCACAGTGACGTCCTGTCTCAGCCTCCTGAGTGCTGAGATTACGAGTCACTGGTGTGTTTGTTTTTCATTTTTGCCGCCACTAAGACTGCAGCCCTAAACGTTTGCTTTAATCTTACTGAAATAACCAACTCCTCACCACAGTGACCCAATGAAGAAGCTATAAGCAAACTTACCACTTTGAGAGCTGAGATTGCTGCAAAATATGGGGCCCCTGTGTACCTGAAGGGAAGACACCACAGTCAACACTGCCCAGCAGCGGCATCCAGCCAAGAATGAGTGACCAACAGAGCCCCCAGGAGCACAGTGATGACACCGCAAGGTGGCTGGCGACTGTCCCCATGCCAGGCAGGGCTGGAAGGCGGCACTGAGCCCCTGCCTGCCCGAGCACTGTGCGGGGAGGTGGAGGTGATGGCAGCCCTGGCCGGGCAGGAGGGCACTGGCTGTAGGGCAGGAGTCGCAGTGGGTGATGCTGACTGAGGCCAGTGGGGCTACCTGGGATGCATGGCGCCTGAGCCCCTGGTGCTCCCCAGTCTGGGCCCTTCCTGCTGGCAGTGCCCAGGAAGCTGAGCCTCAGACGCTGGCTGGCCACAGTCCAAAGTCCCAGCCACGCTGCACCTAACCTCACTTCCAACACCTTGCCTTGGGCATCGTCCAGCACCTGCAACTGGTGTGGTGTGTACTGCTGTAGTCCTAAACCATGGGAGGCCGAGGCAAGAGCATCTCAAGCTCAGGCTGTGCCTGCACAATTTAGTGATTTAGCCTGGCTTTGTCTCAAAACAAAACAAAAAGGCCTGGGCTGTAGCTCAGTGCGAAGGCCCTGGGCTCAAACCCCAGCATCACAAAAGAAGAGTAGTCACTGTCACACTGCACCAAGGAACAAGGTCCGGTTCCATGTTTACAGTGAATGCACCTAATTACACAGTCAGTAGTTGAAAGTGCAGAGCAGGCAAAGCAATGTCACATAAAGGAGACGGGGCCGGGGATTTAGCTCAGTCATGTCACCGCCTGCGTTGCAAGCACAAGGTCCAGAGTTTGATCCCCAGTACCAAAAAAAACAAGACAGAAAGCAACAGAAACAGAATCAGCAGCCAGGGCAGCCCCAAGTCAGAGGCAGACAGAATCGTGGCACTTGAGGAGACCGTAAACCCTGATGGTCCACACAGCACAGCGCGTGTAGGACCAGGAGAGCCAGGCCTATCAGGCTGCGTGTCATGCTGGGCCCTGCGCAGGATGGGCGCCAGGAGTGCACAGAAAGACAGAAAACCAGCCGGAAACCACAGCCCTGCCACAGCTCCCACACCTGGGGCCCCGTGTGGGAGCAGTTCTGGGCCCGCACTAGACAGACAGGGACAGATGGCAGCGGCGGCACTCACTCCTGACTGCCGCCCACCACGCCGATGCGGCCAGCCTGGCCTTTGTGCTTCCCGGCTGCCAGGGTGGGGACGATGTTCCTCACCAGCTGCAGGGTGCTGTCCATCTCCTTGGCCGGGTGCGGTGAGACCGTGCTCTGCCAAACTGAAGGGCAAGACACAGTCACTTGGGGCAGACACCCATCCCGGGACAGCCAAGACGCCACACAGCAGACCAGCTGCCTGGGATTCTCGGGGTTCACCCCAGCACTCCCCATTTCCACAGGCTGCAGGTAAAGGGGGCCGGACCAGTCAGAAGGCCATTTACTGCCTGGGGAGTTTCACTGGCTATGGAACACGACCACCTGACTCAGCCTCCTGTACCAGGTCCCCGTCTCCACACCCGCACCCCACTTCCCTCTGTGACCGTCATGGCAAACTCCCCAGCTGTATTTTTAACACTTCAGTGGCATTCGGAACGCAGCACACATTTAAACGGCGTTCAGAGCGGCAGCTTCGAATAATTTCACTATTTTGCACTGTCTCCCAACAGCTGCACTTCAATTAACCTTGCTGGAAAAGCTTACCAGGGCTGTATCTTTTGCCTTAATATTTAAAACAGTTCACATCAATAGATGCTGACATATTTTATAGGGATCAATCCATGAATAAATAATAAAGCATACATTTTCTCTAGAATTCAGGGATCTCTGAAAATAGAAATATTTTCTCAGACAAGGCGCCTTTCTCTTTTTGGTACTGGGGATCGAACTCTGGTCCTTGTGCTTGCAAGGCAGGCAGCAGAACCAAAGCTAAATCCCCGGCCCTTGTTTTGTGTTTTGAGACAAAGTCTCACAATATACTTCAGGCTGGCCTTGAACTCGTGCTCCTGCCTCCCAAGTAGTGGAATCACAGGTGCACATCACACCTGGAGGCACTTGGTATTTTATCCCTGCTCAGTGGAAGGCTGAGACAGGAGGCTCCAAGCCAGCTGGGCAATTTGGCCAGATCCTGTCTCAAAATACAATTTTGAAGGCTGGGATGTAGCTCAGCGGCAGAGCACTTGCCTGACAGGCACAAGATCCTGGGTTCAATCTCCAAGACCACCAAAGCAAAAAAAAAACACTCCTCCCAGCCACCGAGAAAGACCAACCAACGTTTCTCAAGTTCCACTGAAGATCAAAAGTGGACTCAGATCTTTAAAGGAAAAAGGGGTTTTTGGTTTTTGACCTTCAGGTAGAGTTAAGGGGGTCCTACGAAACTTCACTTGGGAAAACAACGCAGCCTGACTCGCATGCATGGGTGCTAGACAGACAGCCATGGGCAAGGAATTCAGTCAACGAAACAGCCCTCAGTGTGGGGCTCCGTGAGCCTGGACTCCCTGCAGGCAGGAGCCAAGCTGGACAGGCCCCTTGAGGAAGGTCCTCCTCGCCAAGACCCACACCCATCTTCGCTGTGGCTTCAGCATCAGCCTTGGCTCTGGCGCCGCACACATGTTACGGGTGTCTGGGTGGCCGGTGCCACAAACTGACTTGGCGTGCACTCTGCCACTGCAGCTGGCACGAAACAGCTGAAGCCGCGGAGACCAGCAACTGGACTGACAGCCAGAGAAACGGCGACTGGAGCGGGGCGGTGCCTGATGCCCGTCCTTGCCCTGCAGAGGCCTCTCCCGCACCGACGGACACCAAACCCTGCGTACAAGTGCAACACCCGCGGCGCCCGCACCCCAGGTGGGGCTTCTCACGTGGGAGCCCAGCACCCACAGGCCCATGGACACAAGTTTTAAAGCAAACAGTCTTTCCCTTAAGTAAATAATGAGGTTCCATGTGTCTCTCTTCACGCCCAGATAAGCTTTGTTTAAATGCTAAGATGCCAAGGGACCCAAAGACAAGAACAGCTATTTGGCCAGCCACATTGTTGTTTTGTTTTTTTAGACAGAGTCTGGCTCTAGTTCAAATTGGCCTTTAACTCACTAGGTAGCCTAGGCTGGCCTTGAACATACAGAAATCCTCCTGCCTCAGTCTCTTGAGTGTTGGAATTACAGGTTAAACGTTTTGATTTTTAGAATCCCATTTATTGTGCACCAAAAACATCCCTTCTGATTATGTAAAACCTCATACCACATTCATGTAGCAATTTCTGTGGAGCCCTGAAAATAAGTCCTGTTGCGAGCCCTCTCTTCCTGCACATAGCCATGAGAGCCAACACGTGCATGTAAACATAACTGGCATCACCAGCATAGTCACGATCAACCCACCACAGCAAAATTCACCTCTCCCTCCTGCCAGGCCCAACATGTTAAGGCTTTCAAGGGAGCCGGGGAGAGTGGTGCATGCCTGTAGTCCCAGCACCTGGGAGGCTGAGGCAGAAGAATCATTCATTCCTAGGAGTTCAAGACCAGCTTGGACAGCACAGCAAGATCCCATAGTTTAAAAAAAAAGGAAACAGATGATGATTTGGGGATTTGGGGACAGCAAACATCCTCTGAAAACAGAACTGCCTGAAGATCAGCACATGAGAAAAGCTCTCCACTGTATGCATCTTTGGGTTATTCTAAGAGCATAATGTAACAGACAGCTTTTTGCCATGTAATTTTATTTTATTTTTATTTTTGGTACTGGGGATCAAACTCAGGACCTTGTATTTGCAAGGCAGGCGGCGGAACCACAGAACCAAATCCCCGGCCCCTGCCACGTAATTTTAAAAATTCAGGGGTAAATAACCAAAGGCAAAGCAATTAGGGTCATTATGTGAGGCTGTGAACCCTTTGGCACACGGACCTCACGCTGCTGGACTGCGCTGAGAGAACCCCAGCCTCCCACCGTCCCACCCTCCACTCCCATACCAGGGACTGAGGCAGCCGGCAGCGTCTCAAGTAGCCAGGGTCAAAGCCTGGCAAGGATAAACGAATCAGAGGCACAGAGGTTCACACTCCTAACTGCCAGTTTTTCTTTGACAAATAAGGAAACCGAGGCCCAAAGAGAGACCTATGAAAATGCTAGTTAGTGCTCTACCAAGGAGCTACCCTCCATAGCACTATTTTAATTTTAACACAAGATCTGGCTAAGTTGCCCAGGCTTGGCTAGAATGTGTGATCCTTCTGCCTCCGCCTCAACTAGCTGGCCAAGCAATACCATTTCACCAAACAAAATGCTGCCACTGGCAGGCAAGACACATTTTTCTTCAACCAAATTATTCACCCCACTAACCAAATAAGTCAAATCTCTCTCTCAAATGCCCTCTGAACCAATTGGGAAGAAAATAAATCACTGTCAAGAAGTACAGCATTTTAACTGAACTGTATGAATCCAAAGTAAAGTCCGAACCACCCACCAGCATTTTGTCCTATTCACCTGAGACAAACAGCTTCTGTTAGCAAAAGGCCAAACAAAGGTCAATGAAATGTCCTGACGCTTCTGGGTAAAGCAAGTTTCAGCTGGCTTCCAGCCACACGCCACTTGGGTTATCCACGAAGCATTTCAATACAAACACCATTCTGGGCCTGGTAGAACAAGTCAAGTCTGTCTGAGGTTTGCTGGTTTTAAAGAGAGGTACTCGTTACTTGTGTCAAAGGTGCTTTAACTTAAGGTGAATTATAAGCTGGCACACTTGACCAGGTTCCTGAAGCTAACTAACCGCTGGGGGCTTCAAGGTTCTAAAGCCTGGAACTCCACTTGCTTACGAAACTTCAAAAGAGCATTATAATTTAAAGCAAAAGCTATTACAAAAATCTTTGAAAAGTGGCGCTTAGAAGTCCCCTATAGACTCCAGGACTCACTCCCTCCTCTGTGTAATTCAGAACTTGCAGGACTGCAAGACAAACAGCCACAAACAATGCCCGGCAGCTACAGACTGAGCACAGCCTCAGCCTCCCACAGCAAACTGTCCCTTTCACCGTCCGCAGCTCTTTCCTGTTGGGGAATGGTGGCTGATCGCTTCCTCGGGAGAATCGCCAACACTCACCTTCTTCACGAAGATGGAAAACGGCTCTTATCTGTCTTATGAAACATGAGTCACTACAATACGCTACGTAAAGGTGTTAGAAAAATTAATATGCACAGGATAAACGGAAGGAGAGAAGGCCATACAAGGAGGTAAGTGGCTCGAGACAATTAAGATCCACTAGTTCCGCGCACGCCGAAATTCTCCCAACGTAGTCTGTCCTACCCGAAAAGGCGCCTCTAATACAGGGTCTACTGGGGAAATTTCGGGGCCAAGGGCCGGAAGGACACCGGGGGACCCGGGCCCCCGGACTACGCCCCCCGCGAGGACCACTGTGACCCGCCCGGGCCGCTGGCCCGGCTTCAAGCCCGGAGGGAG